TTTTGATTGATACTGCCAAATTACCTTGTAAAAAGCTTTAATCAATTTGTATTGTCCATCTGGCGTGTACGTAAGAGCCCATTTCTCCCTAACCTCTGATACTTGACATTATCAAGAAATTTCTGTTGGGCCGGGCCGGGCCGGGGGGCGCACTGCTCCAGTGCGCCGCTTGGGAAGCACGGCAGCGCTCCCGCCGAGGGTTCGGATCCCACATACGGACCGGCCGCTCACTGGCTGAGCGAGGTGCGGGGGCAACACCGAGGGTTGCGATCCTGTTGCCGGTCCCGGTCTGGTACGGGCGCGACACTGAGGGTTGCGATCCGTTGCCGGTCACGAAAAAAGACAAAAAAGGAAAAAAAAAAAAAAAAAAGAAATTTCTGTCAACGTGATGGGCAAAATATATACCATCTTTTATTTTAGTTCTGTGATTATCAGGATTATTAGTGAATTTTATCATCCATCCATCCACCCATCTATCAGCACATAGTATGATCATTTATGTAACAACAAAAAATCTGTATATGTATACAGATATTTGCACGTAAATTAATAGAAAAAAGACTACATGGCCGGCCCGGTGGCGCACTGCTACAGTGCGCCGCTTGGGAGCGCGGTGGCGCTCCCGCCGAGGGTTCGGATCCCACATACAGACCGGTTCCCGCTCACTGGCTGAGCGAGGTGCGGGCGCGACACTGAGGGTTGCGATCCCGTTGCCGGTCCCGGTCCGGTACGGGCGTGACACTGAGGGTTGCGCTCCGTTGCCGGACACGAAAAAAAAAAAGACAAAAAAAAAAAAAAGACTACATGGATACATTTTAAAGTGTTATCAGGAGTTGCTTTCAAAGAGGGGAATGAGAGGTGAGCATTTTACTTTATATATATTTTTTCTCTTTTACACACACATTTAGTCTTTTATAGTGTTTTAGAATTAGCATACAAGGGTACTTCAAAAAGTTTGTGAAAAAATGGAAAAAAAGATAACACAAATCTTTACACAAACTTTTCTTTTTTGTTGTTTTTTAACATGAACTTTTTGAAGTACCCTCATATACACAGTGACCATAAAGTATGGACACACAGGTGAATATATATAATAAACAGTACATTGATATTGTAGTATAATATATGTAAAATAATATTATGTATAGCTTATGGCCACCCTTTATTCATGCATTGTTTATGAAAACTTTTAAAGGTCTCATGTATGCTAAAGTAAGGGTTTGAGCTTACTGTGTTAAATAATGGGAAACTCCTTAGACAGTGTAAGCATAGGGATGACAGAATCAAATTTCTGTTTTAGAAAAACCATTCTGGAATAATGTGGATGAAAAGCTAGTTGGAGAAAGAGGGGGAACAGATGAAGTCAGGAAGATCAGCAGAACACTGCTGCTACGGTGGAGCTAGATGTGGATTTACCTCCAACAGCAAATGCTTGCTCTGTTCTGACTCCCTTGTACTCTTTGCACCCTCTTACTCTATGCAAAGATGACTGAGGAAAAGAAACAATATTTATTTATATGCCCAAATACATTAAACCTGTTAAGTAAGTGAATCCCTGGATGAAGTAGAGTTATATAAAAACAATGAAGGTAAGGTTTTTTTTGTTTCCCTATGTTTCTTTTTTTCTTTTTTTCCTTTTTGTCTTTTTTCGTGTCCGGCAACGGATCGCAACCCTCAGTGTCGCGCCCGGACCGGACCGGGACCAGCAACGAGATCACAACCCTTGGTGTTGCGGCCGCACCTCGCTCAGCCAGTGAGCGGGAACCGGTCTGTATGTGGGATCCGAACCCTCGGCGGGAGCGCCGCTGCGCTCCCAAGCGGCGCACTGTAGCAGTGCGCCACCGGGCCGGCCCCCCTATGTTTCTTTATGAAACAAAAAAACAAGAGTTTTTTTTTTTTTCCGTGTCCGGCAACGGATCGCAACCCTCAGTGTTGCCCCCGTACCGGACCAGGGACCGGCAACGGGACTGCAACCCTCGGCGCTGCTCCCGTGCCTCGCTCAGCCAGTGAGTGGGAACCGGTCTGTATGTGGGATCCGAACCCTCGGGCGGGAGTGCCGCCGCGCTTCCCAAGCGGCGCACTATCCAGTGCGCCACCGGGCCGGCCCAAAAAACAAGAGTTTTGAGGGCTGGAAAGTCATTATTCTTCCTTCTACTGACTCTGAATATATAAATCTGTTGTTTTTATTCTGTAAGCCATTAGCCAGATGCTCAATTCTTCCCTGAACACATCTCACCCTCTTTCTTGTCTAAGTCCCTACAAGGAAGGAGGACAGCATGTTTGTGGCCACTTGATCAAATGTGTATTCTGAAACAGACCTAGCTATAGTGGTTCTCTAGTCTTTAGTTGCTTTTGGTAACTGTTCCTACCTGTTCCATTCATGTAGTCCTTGGCCAGCTCAAATAACCTGAGGTGCATGTTGGTGATAGGATTAAAGGAGCCACAAGCAAGGAGAACCACTTCTGTCTTCTCTGAATTTTCCATGGTAAGAATTTGAAGTTGTTGATCTAAATGGGAAACTCTGATACCTCCCTTTTTATCTACAAAGGAAAAAGAAAGTAAGTTCAGTTATAGACTTTTGATGTCTATCCATGTTCTCATTCCAACCAAATGGATAAAAATAATGGCTTCAATGACTATGCTAGATGAACTGCAAAAATGGCTCCATTTCTCCACCCTTCCCTTTTCAATGTGAATTTGCAGCTCCTACCATAAAGGGATGGAATTTACTACTACACTCATTGTGACTTGCTTCAGCCAAAAGAATGTGGCAGAAGTGACAGTGTGCCAGTTCTATGCTAGGCCTTAGAGGCTTTGTAACCTTCCGCTGTCTTTGAACTGCTGCCCTTGCCATGAAAACAAGTCCAGGCTAGCCTGTTGGAGGATGGCAGAACATGTGGAAGAGAGCTGGTGCTCCCGCTGATAGACGGCCAACCACTCAATAGCGACTGTGGCCGTCCTAGGCCAGCCAACCACAGCCAACCTGCTCAGACACATGAGCAAGTGCTAATAGTTTATAATTTACAAGCCTTTTTCATATCAATATTCCACCTGAGCTTTCCATAACCCTAATGAAGTAATGCAAGACATGTGACTTAAAATTTTTATTTAAAATTAATAATTAACGTATACAGATTTAGAAATGACAGGGCGACAAAAGGTCCACAATGACAACCAAAAGCATCAACCATATCCCACTCACCATCCCCTCCATCCAGCTTCCTAAAGGCAACCACTTTTAAGTTTTTCAGCTACAAAGGGTCTTCGAAAAGTTCATGGAAAGATTCATGTTATCTTTTAATTTCATTTTTCCACACACTTTTTGAAGTACCCTTGTGTTTCTTCTGGTAGATTCTACATAATCCTGCATTATGTGCTTATAATGCTGTTTAAATAGTGCACACTGACTTTCTTTTATTGTCTATGAGGATTATCACATCCCCTCGCTACACTCTCCCAGACTTCCTGATATAGTTTATCTCTCGTCTATGTAGACAATCATCTTCTCTCAGAATTTTGAAGGCATTGCTTCTAAATTCTAGTGTTAACAGTGAGAAATACAAAGTCATCTCCAGTTCTGGAGGCTTTGTGTTTTGTTTGTTTTTGTTTTTTATTCAAAACTGACATTTTCTGAAGTTTATCATTTTTACAAAACAAAACAAAAAGCAGGTATCAAAAACAGCAAAGAGTTGGGCCGGCCCCGTGGTGCACTTGGGAGAGTGCGGCGCTGGGAGCGCAGCGACGCTCCCACTGTGGGTTCGGATCCTATATAGGACTGGCCGGTGCACTCACTGGCTGAGCGCGGTGCGGGCGACACCACACCAAGGGTTGCGATCCCCTTACTGGTCACGAAAAAGACAAAAAAAAAAAAAACAGCAAAGAGTTTATAGAATTTCTGCACCAGTTTTCACATAAGTCAGTGATTATAAAACTGGTGTCCAACATAAATACGAAACACAGGCCGAATTTCCTCTTGGTTATATGCATTCAGATGGTTTGTTTTGGAGATACTGAATAACTTTTCATTAGCACCAGTCATTTTCTGAGAACCAATTTGGTTTGTCCAATAAAGTAAACATTTTTTTTTTTTTTTTGCTGTGTGGCATTTTCTTATTTAAAAAAAACACAGTTCTGTAGCTTTTGAATGTCACTTATTTTTTCCCTGCCTTGAAGCTTGCAAGATCTTCTCCTGGTTCCCAGTGTTCTGAAACTTTATAGTAGTGTCCTCTAGTGCAGCTCTGTTTTCATCCATTGTGCATGCTGGGCACTCAGCAGTCCCTTTCAATCTCAGAACTCATAACCTTCAGTTCTGGAAAATGTCCTTGAATTATTTCACTGATGATTTTCTGCCTTCTATTTTCTCTGTTCTCTTTGGAAATGCCTATTATTTATCAATCACGGAAGCACCTGGACTGGTCTTCTAATTTTCTTATCTTTCCTACTTTCCACCTCCTGCCTTCATGCTCTAATTTCTAGAAAGCCTCAACTTCATCCTCCAATCTACCTACGGAGTTTCTCATTTCTGCTATTATACTCTTAATTTCTAAGAGCTTTGTCCTCTGAATATTTCTTTTTATGGTATTCTGTTCTTGTTTCACCAACACATTATGCTCTCATTTCTCTACCAATATAAATATTTTAAATTCCTTTCAGAAAGAGCTGATAGGCAGTTCTAAGCGAGTTAAGTAGAGCTTGTGCACAGTGGGCTTCACTGTACAGTAGCCTGGCTGTCAGTACTGAAGGTCTTCCCCCTTGGACTGGTCAGATTCCACAAAAAAAGTATCCTCCAATTTCCTGCCTATGTAGCAGAGTAGTTAAGAGCCTATGGTCTGAAATCAGACTGCTTGGGTTCAAATTGAAGCTTCAACATTCACACGTGCTAGGTGACATTGAGCAACTAAACCTAACCTAACCTTCCTTTTGTCCCAGTTTTTCTGAATCTTGAAACAGAAAATAATATTACCTACCTCATGACTGTTTTTTCTTTTTCCTTTTTGTCTTTTTTGTGACCAGTAACGGGATCGCAACCCTCAGTGTCGTGCCCATACCGCGACCGGCAACGGGATCGCAACCCTCGGTGTCACGCCCGCACCGCGCTCAACCAGTGAGCGGACCAGTCTCTATATGGGATCCGAACCCTCAGCGGGAGCACCACTGCGCTCCCAACCACCGCACTCTACCGAGTGCACCACTGGGCCGGCCCCCTCATGACTGTTTTGAAAGAGTAAATGAGACAATACATGTTCAGTGCACAAAACTGTGTTTGGCAATTAACAAACGTACCACAAATGTAGCTATTGTTAACACTGCATATCATGTTACCACAATTCAGCTGGGTTTTTTTTTCTTTTTCTTTTTTTTTTGGATCTACAAAAACATTGACTTCAAATTGCTCAACCTACTATCTTACTCTATTAAATCCATTTGTTCTTGAAGGCATTTCCTCCTGGAACTCTCCCCTTCTCTAATCTGGACTGAAAATCTCTCATTCTTTGTAAAACTGTCTCCTGAGTTCTAGATCCCCTATTCCTTTCTTGCTTTGCTTCCTAATTTTTCTGGAGCATATCCTCAAGCAGCTTCATAATAAAGGGTACATGGGAGATAATTAGAGAATTCTTTTCAATTCAATAATTTGAAATAATTTTTGAAATAATTTTCTTTTAAAATTATGAAGGCACTTCATTATTTTCTAGCATTCAACACTGCCACTATAGAAAGTCTGATGTCATTCTGATTCTTGTTCCTTTACATGTAACCTGCTTTTGCTTTCTGGGAGATGTGTGGAATATCCTCTTATCCCCAATGTGCTGCTATGCCACTGTAATGTGTCTTAGTTAGGGTCTTTTTCATACATTGTTCTGTGAGCTCAGAGAACTTTTCCATCTTAAATTCAAATCATTCAGTTCTGGATTATTTCTTTCATAAACAAGAGCCCTACTAGTTATCAATAAACGCAACACTTTTAAAAAACAAACTAAATAAATAAATAAATAAATAAAACACTTTCAGGGCTGGCTGGTTAGCTCAGTTGGTTAGAGCGCAGCCTCATAACACCAAGGTTAAGGGTTGGGACCCCGTACCAGCCAGCTGCCAAAAAACCCAAAACAAAATACTTTTATTACTGGAAAGTTTTTTAAAATAAATATTCATGCATTTCCAAGATGTTTCAAAATAATCATTCTGAGAACTTATAAATATAATTCCAGTGATACAATCTTGCTCAAAGTATTTTGGGAACTTTTGAGGAATTATTTACACAGCCTGAAACATTTTTATAACCAACATAAAAATATAACAAATGATGGGCCGGCCCGGTGGTGCACTGATACAGTGCGCCACTTGGGAGCACAACGGCACTCCCTGGCTGAGCGAGGTGTGGGAGCAACACCGAGGGTTGCGATCCCGTTGCCGGTCCCGGTCCGGTACGGGCGCGACACTGAGGGTTGCGATCCGTTGCTTGACACGAAAAAAGACAAAAAGGAAAAAATATATATATATATATATAACAAATGACAATAAATGAACCAACAGCTGTATGCTACCTTTCAGTTTATAAGATACTTTCATATAGATTATCATTTAAACCTCATCACAAAAAATAATTTGGCCAAAAGCATTTAGCATGTTCCAAATAATGACTTATTATTTAGTTTTTCTAATTAATCATCTACCATGGGACATTTAGGTTTTTTTTTTTTTCTCCTTTTTGTCTTTTTTTCTTGTCCGGCAATGGATCGCAACCCTCGGTGCCGCACCCACACCTCGCTCAGCCAGTGAGCGGGAACCGGTCTGTATGTGGGATCCAAACCCTCGGCGGGAGCGCCGCCGCACTCTCAAGCGGCGCACTGTAGCAGTGTGCCACCGGGCCGGCCCCACATTTAGGTTTTTGTAATTTTTCACTACTACAAACATCTCAAAAGAGAAATAATGGGTTGAAAATGAATTAGAAATTCTATAAAACATGTCACTGTACACTTCTAAGACTTGTCAATACTCAAAGACTGTGTCAAGGACTATTTTTACTTATAGCCCATCAGTGCTCAGGCCCAACTGCTGAGATGACCAAATTGCTTTTGTTCAGATTTTACGCTCTCAGTGGAAGACGCTCCTGAGTGGTGTACCAGGGCTAGAGTTTAGGTTTCCTGACTCTTAACAGCCGTCTCACCAAGAAGAAAAATGGGAGACAAACTGTAGCAGTGAAGATTGGAAATGAGCCCTCATAGCTAAGAAGCTGAAAATGTGAACTTTATCCCCTTAGGCAATGGCAACCTTTGAAAGTTTTTGAGCAATGGAGTGACAACAGGGTTCTAGAAAAAGTGTTCTAGGGCCAGCCCATGGCTCACTCGGGAGAGTGTGGTGCTGATAACACCAAGGCCACGGGTTCGGATCCCATATAGGGATGGCCGGTTAGCTCACTGGGTGAGCGTGGTGCTGACAACACCAAGTCAAGGGTTAAGATCCCCTTACCGGTCATCCTTAAAAAAAAAAAAAAGTGTTCTAGAAAAATATGTGATATGGGTGTTAAAATGCCATACTTTGT